AATGTTTGGATCAAAGCTCTAACGGTTGTGTAAACATTTAATTATGGAGTGACAAACAAGTTTGAGTCCTTCAAAGCAAAGATTATGCAACCTAAAATGGATTTGGTTCATGTGTTCATCAAGAAATGGCTTGTAATTCAAGTTTGAAAACCCTAACTTCTTGCCTTCGATTCTCCTTGCTCAAATATGATGTCAATGAGTTCTTGGACATTTTGGAAATCTTGTAACATCCTCTACAACCCCTATGTTGTACATTTTTTAAATTCATATTTATGTGAAAAATTGGCATGAAGTTAGGTCAAAATCCTGCCTAAACTAGGGCAAATTTTCACTAAGTTTCCAAGTTTCATGAACACGTATTCACAAAATCATAAATTGAAATACATGAATTTATAGTAGAGGTTGTGTTCTACAATATTTTAGATCTCATTGATATCTACAAATTTCATGTTGGAAGTTTCCTTTGAATCATCTTGCATCATGGTGAAAATTTGAATCAAAGTTATGAAAAAATATGAATTTTCCAACACTTAGAAAAATTTCTAAGTTTAGAAAATTTGAATTTTCAAAATGAAATCTTGACTTTTGATTTCTTGATGAACAAGTTTCATATTTTGACATATCTTGATGAATTGTGATCTTTGATACTTGATTTTATATTTGACTTTTCATCAGTTGACTGAAAATCAACTATCAATCAATTGAACTTGAGGAATGTTTTGAGCCATGCCATTAGGTCAAAATGAAGCAATTGAATCCTTGAGATCATAACTTAAACCAATCAATCATTTTCTAGGTCAAAAATCAGAAATTGTCTCTTCTCGATCAAAACCCTAATTTTGACCATTTTGCCCTTTTGATGATCTGATCAAATTTCTTGAGGAATTGTGATCCAAAATTTATCAAGTGACATATATGAGTTCATGATATTGATATGGATAAAAAATTATGAAATTTGACTGTAAATTAACCACATTTGACTTTTTCCCTAATACAGTTGATTTTAGCTCAACTGATCAATTGATTGAGCAAAAATGTGATCCAAGATTTAAAACTTGACATGAGCAATCTTGAGAGTCCAAAATGATCCATGAAAGTCATATGAGGCATTAAAAGTCCATTTGTCCTTGTGCAAACTCAAACCCTAATTTTCAGTCATCAGTGCTTAAGGAAGTGTCTTGAGCTGATCAACCCTTGTATAGTCTTGAGCCAAAGGAGATCTTGTGAGAGATTATTTGATAAATGAGAGGGAAAATTTTGGTGTACAACAGCGCTTCCTTCACCTCTACCACTTGTATTATAGTTCCTTTTGGAATGACTGCATTTTTCCAAACAACAACATGGAGAAGTGTTCAATATAAATCTAGCTTGCTTCGGGGTCCATTTTGGCCCCTTATCTTTTAAAAAGTGCAAGACAATCCCTTAAGTCTTAAAAATAGAGCATGTTTGTCCTTCTGTCTGTATTTGTTAGTGAGTGTGCAAAATGTTTGTATATGTGGCATGACTGATGTTACGTGGCAATTACATGGTATATGTTTAAATTTTGTGAACAAACACAACATTCATACCTTGAATTTATTCGCTCAGAGAGAGAAATTGAAGGCCTACTATCGATTCTGCAAAGCAAGAACCATCATTGAGTGAAGATCATTTGAAGGTGAACCATCATTGCAAACATGTTAGATATTTGATGATCTGTATAAGTTCTGATAGGAATTAGGTTTTTCTGATAAATCTGTTGTTTGCATGTTTTCAAAATGAAAAATTAGGGTTTTCTGCTAAATCATTTTTTGCATGTTTTTCAAAATGAGAAATTAAGGTTATCTGCTAAATCGTTTATGATGCATGTTTTTAATCTGAGTAATTAGGGCGTGATTGAAAATAGGGTTTATTGAATAAAATTTATTTTGAATTGTCTAGGTGAAATAGAGGAGTATATTGTATTAATAATTCATCATAGTGGTGAATTTGTTGATGGTGATCTTAGGGTGTATGAAGGAGGGGAAGTTGTTGAGATGAAAATAGATGTTGACAGATGGAGCTACTTTGAGCTTGTAAGGTCACTGAAGTGTTTAGGTTATAGGATTTTGAGTCAATCTATTACAAAGACCCGACATTTGGGATGCAACAATTGATTGATGATGTTGGAGCCTTAGAAATAGCTGATCTTTATAAGGTTCGCCTAAGTGTAGACATTTATATTAACCATAAAATTGAGCAGCCTGAGTATATAGAAATTATTGTCAATGTCAATGAGGAGCATGATGTCAATGATGTAGTCGAAGAAGTGCTTTCCAAATTGCATGAAGAATGTGTCAATGAAAATGATAAGTCCAATGAAGTTGAGATGGAGGCTGAGGAGGTTGTGTTGGAGGTTGAGAAATTAGGTATGGAGGCTTAACATGCTGAGAAGGTTGTGTTGGAGGCTGAATAGGTTGTGTTGGAGGCTGAGAAGGAATGCATGGATGATGAGAAATATGGTATAGAAAGTGGTGAGGTAGATGATGGTCTAAGTAGTGATGATAGTGAGTTCATCAAAACCTTTTTTTCCTCTTGGACCAACTACAAGACTAATTGCTGCCAAGAATGTGATTGGCCCAACTATAAGGAGGACAACTCTAACTAAGAGGACAACTCCCAAGAAAAAACTTAGATATGTATAGGATGTCATTTTGAATTTCTGTCATTTTGTATAATGGTCTTAACTGATATTTGGAATCATCTACTACTGTTTTGTGTTATGCTTATGTATGTCATCTTGAATTGTTGTCATTTTGTGTAATGGATATGAATGTCATTTTGAACAAGTTTATGTTAATGGCAATTATGTGTTATGTTGAAATTATGTTTATTACAAGTTTATGTGTTAATGCATAATTGATCAACATTACAACATTTCATTACAACATTTCAACATTTCATTACAACTTAACATAGAACAATACAATATTTCATTACAACTTAACATAGAATAATATAACATTTCATTACAAAATGATCAATATTACAATATTTCATTACAACTGACATGATATTTGGAACATTACAATATTTCATTACAACTTAAAATCAGATCTAAATCATTACAACTGCAACTTAAACATTACAATTCATTATAAACAAAACCAGAATTGTTGCGCCTAAAATAACAAACATAATACAACAGTTTTTCAACTTCATAATCTTGTTCATCTCCTTCCTTAATTCTTCATTTGTCAACTTAATTTTTTTCAATCTCCATTGTTGCACTATCCAATTTCTTTGATAACTTTTCCAGTCTATACATTATAATTTGCCCTTTGTTATCTTGAGCTTCCTCATAAAACCATTAAAAAAACCCACACACAGGTTGCCTTGTTTCCTGCAATTTATGATGTATTACTCAAACAGTAACCATGGAGATAAAAAGCTTGTACATTTCACAAACATATCTTAAAATGAGTACAACCCCAAAAATGTTTCCCATAGCTCTTTGTCGTTGAAGACTTGCGAAGAATAGTCAAATCTCCACAGTGACAAGTTGGTTTCCATGTGAGATTGGAGCTCGTGAACACACTGGAGTTGTTTGATTCTTGGCATTTCTGGTTCATGGGAGACAAAGCATAACCTGATGTCATTGATGTTGAACCCTATGCTTCAATTTGGGCAAAAAATTCTTAACCCTAGATACGACAAAGAAAACGATTCGGTAAAATAAAATAGGGGAAATGAAGGAGACAAGCCATGTTATTTGTCACATATGCAGACACAAACGTCTGTTTGCAGTAAATGGACGAAAAGAACCTACGTGCTTCATTTTAAGACTTAAGAGATTGTTTTGCACTTTTTAAAAGATAAGAGACCAAAGTGGACCCTGAGACAAAGTTAAAGGACAAAAAAAAGATATTTCCCCTATAATTTTTTATGGTGAAATTATTTACATGTAACTCTGTATATTATCTTTTATTGTAACTAGACACTCTAAAGCGACCTTACTAACCTACCATCTCTTATGCTTTATTTTATAAACAATATATGTAAATTTCTAGATAATTAATGCAAAGTTACATGGAAATAATTTCACCATAAAAAATTACAAAATATACTTCCAGCTTCTTCCTCCAAATACTAAAAATATATAAATTTTTTTACAAAATAGACTTCCAACTCCTTTCTCAAATATTAATATATATATAATTTCTTATAAACAATATCTTATATATATATATATATATATATATATATATATATATATATATATATATATATATATATATATATATATATATATATATATATATATATATATATATATATATATGTCAAAAATTTATTAAATTTTTGATACATATAGAACTTTTTTAAAATTTACCGTAAATAATAAAATTTTCAATAAATCGTAATTGGAAAATTTGAAATTTCTGATATATCGCTATTGAAAATTTGTAGAATATAAAGAATTTTCGATATGCGACAAAAATCAGGATAGAAAATTTGTTAAGAATATCGTAAATTTAGAAATTCATCCGTTTAATAAATAGTAAAAAAAATTTAACAAAAATAAAAAATTTAGAGTAAATAATAAAAAAAAATATTTTAAAAATATTAAAAATTGGTAGAATGACATGTATAAGGATGACAAGTTAGTTTCTAAAAAAAACAAGCGTCTTCAAGTTTTAGCACCGTTTCTGTATAAAAAGAACAAGTTAGCAGCAAAAAGAAGGAGCGTGGTGCGTGAGCGCGTACGTCAGTGAGTCAATAACCGAATAATAGCACTTTAAATATGGTCCCGTGGTACGCACGTGACTGCGCACACCCACACAAAAAACAAAACCAATTTTGCCTTCGCCTTTTGAGTCAATCGAACAATACAATTTTCATTTCATTTCATTTCGATGCTCAAAAGCAGATATTATTTGTTTTAAAAGCATCTCTAATAGCACTCAATCACTCACACACTGTGCTCTCTCTTTCTCTCAGAAACAACGCTACCGAAAACCGAAAACCCTCTTCTCTTCCTCATGACGACGTCGTTTGCAGCAGCGGCGCTCAGAGACCCTAAGCTTCAGATCCCAACCTACCATGGCTTACGCTCTTCCTCCGCCGCATCTTCTCTCTCTCGCAATGCTCTCTCCGTCCCTTCATCCACTCGCTCCTCCTCCCTCATACGCGCTGTTTCCACCGTTCGTATTCTTCTCTCACCTTTCGCTTTCCTTTTTCAGCTTCTTCCAATATTCCATAAATATTAATTATCCACTTTCGTTTCTTGAATTGACACCTCCGTTAATTATATTCTTTAATTTTATATTTTGAATAATTAATTATTAGGTAACTAGAGTTTGGATTATGACAGTTGAATTTCATTTTGATGAGTTTGTTATGAATGTGTTCTTAACTTGTTGTTGTTGATGATGATGATATGATGATGCTGTTGTGGTTGGATTTTATTTTATTTTTTCTTTGTAGCCTGCCAAGTCTGAAACGGTTACTGAGAAGAGGAGCAAAGTTGAGATATTCAAGGAAAATAGCAATTTCATAAGGTATCCTCTTAACGAGGATATGTTGAATGATGCACCGAATTTAAGCGAAGCTGCAACTCAGTTGATTAAGTTTCATGGTAGTTATCAGCAGTACAACAGAGACGAGCGTGGTTCGAGAACCTATTCGTTTATGATACGAACGAAGAATCCTTGTGGTAAGGTTTCGAATCAGCTTTACTTGACTATGGATGATCTTGCTGATCAGTTTGGAATTGGGACGCTTCGTTTGACTACTAGACAGACGTTTCAGCTGCATGGTGTTGTTAAGAAGGATCTTAAAACGGTTATGGGTTCTATTATTAGGAATATGGGCTCGAGTCTCGGTGCGTGTGGTGATCTTAATAGGAATGTGCTTGCTCCTGCTGCTCCGATTGTGAGGAATGATTATCTCTTTGCTCAAGAAACTGCAGAGAATATTGCTGCACTTTTGACTCCTCAATCTGGTTTCTATTACGATGTTTGGGTAGATGGGGAGAGATTTATGTCTGCAGAACCGCCTGAGGTAGTCCAGGCACGGAATGACAATTCTCATGGTACAAACTTCACAGATTCACCCGAGCCCATTTATGGTACTCAGTTCTTGCCCAGGAAATTCAAAATTGCAGTTACTGTGCCGACTGATAACTCTGTGGATATTCTCACAAATGATATTGGTGTTGTTGTTATTAACGGTGATGACGGGGAGCCTCAAGGATTCAACATTTACGTAAGATTAATTTAAATGACAGTTGATTTAATTTTTTTTCTGCCATCAGTCTAACTGGGATTTTGCAATTGTTTTTGCAGGTTGGTGGTGGGATGGGAAGAACACATAGGATGGAAAACACTTTTCCCCGCTTGGCTGAACCATTGGGTTACGTACCAAAAGAGGATATTTTGTATGCAGTGAAAGCAATTGTTGTTACACAACGAGAAAATGGGAGAAGAGATGACCGTAGGTACAGTAGAATGAAATATCTGATTGACTCTTGGGGAATAGATAAGTTCAGAAATGTAGTTGAGCAATATTATGGCAAGAAGTTCGAACCTTTCCGCAGCTTGCCAGAATGGGAATTCAAAAGTTATCTTGGATGGCATCAGCAGGTTGGTTCTCCAGACAAGTGAATAGTATCAATGTATTTATGCTTGCTTGTAGGTATACTATTATTGTTTGTTGATGCACACCATTCCTACTTGCATAGACTTCCATGTGATCAGGAAGTGGGTGGACAGGCTTTTGACATGTTGTATTTTTCGTGGATTTAATAGCTGATATGATGACAATGGTTCTTCATACATGCCACCTGCAAAGAGTAGACTTTGTGTCAGTTCTGTTTTATATGTAAAGGTATGCTAGGCATAACATATCAGCACGGGCTGAGTAGTTAAATTAAGCTAATAGTTAGTTCTGATGTATGGTGCATTTTAAATTTTTCTGTAACTGTAAATGTGCATATAATTTTTTGCTGTGTACCTATGTGAAAGAACTACATATTTCTTTTATATGTGGCTAAGTAACCTGCAGGTAGCTTATTCTTTGATGATACTGTCTTTGACTAAATTATAGCTCCATGTCTTAATGTATGTTGGCTCATTGGGTTTTATCTTCCAGGGCGATGGTGGTTTATTTTGTGGGCTTCATGTTGACAATGGTCGTATTGCTGGAAAAATGAAAATGGCACTGAGAGAGGTTATTGAGAAGTATCATTTGAATGTTAGATTAACTCCAAATCAGAACATCATATTGACTGATATTCGCGCTGCATGGAAACGTCCCATCACAACCATTCTTTCTCAGGCTGGTTTGCTGGTAAGATGCTCACAGCTTAATTCTTACAGAAAAATAGATATACCCTTGCCGTGATTGTTTATATTAAGCTATATTTGTTAATAAAATATGCAATTTTCTTATCCCTGCGCGGTTGACATTTGACATTGTTTTTTTACCCCACATTGTGTCGTATAGAGGTCAATTAGTATTTTAGTCTTTTCAACAAGGTGCGATTTAAAACACGTAAGTTATGCTTACAAGTTTCACGTGATGTTGACTATTCCATTATGAAAAGGATATCCATTTGTATCTTATAGGTCTTTATAAATCTGATTAGCTGCTGCTTTTGTGATGCCGTATTTTCTATGGGGACACTGGGAATGTTTTCCACTTACTTTTGACTAATGCTTATATATAAGGAATTATGGAAACCATTTTTTAGAGATAATCTAAGTTACCCTAAATTACTCAGCCACAATCAATATGTTGCAATATATTTTAATATATTATGACATAAATTTACTTTATATATGGTTGAACTTTAATCAATTTCTTTAAGATCACTTTTGCTTGACATCATGATAATTGTTAGTTATGTTTTATTTATTTCTTTTAATTTTCTTTACCCCTTCTATAATATTCCTGTTTTTCAGTGTATATCATTATTGTTATTTCATTTTTCATTATTAGGCCTATAATAACCCTTTTTTGCTGTTAACAGCAACCTAGATATGTAGATCCGCTTAATATAACGGCTATGGCATGCCCTGCTTTCCCATTATGTCCCCTGGCAATTACTGAAGCTGAACGTGGAATACCAAGTATTCTTAAGCGGATCCGTGACATGTTTGAGAAGGTATTGCTGCCAGATAAAAGCCTTGATATTATTGATTTGATGGAAATCACTAATTAAGAAACTTTCTAATTATCTCATCCCAATTCAGGTTGGTCTGAAGTATAATGAATCTGTGGTTGTAAGGATAACTGGCTGCCCTAATGGTTGTGCTAGACCATATATGGCTGAACTTGGTCTGGTTGGTGATGGCCCAAATAGCTATCAGGTTTGTTAATCAGTGGTTCAACCCAATTACTTTTAATTGAAAATTCTAAAAGTCCATCTTGATCACATTTCTCCCTCTTTCTCCCCGGATCCTGATATATAGGTTTGGCTTGGAGGCAGCAGTAACCAAACGTCAATAGCAAGGAGTTTCATGGACAAGGTGAAGCTTCAAGACCTTGAAAAAGTTTTGGAGCCATTGTTTTATCATTGGAAGCAAAAGCGTCAGTCTAAAGAATCATTTGGCGACTTCACAGTTCGACTGGTACATTTTGGCCTTTGTGTTTTTGTTGCATCTTGGACCAATCTTTTTGAAAATATTATAATAAGTGTTAAAAGTGATTGGTGTGTTTGGCCAAAATGACACCATTATCTGTTTATAGGGATTTGAGAAGCTTAAAGAATTTATTGACAAATGGGAGGGTCCAGTAGTAACAACAATGACACGCCACAACCTGAAACTTTTTACCAATAAAGAGACATACGAAGCATTGGATGGGTTAGCTAAGCTTCAAAACAAGAATGCTCATCAGTTGGCCATTGAAGTTATCCGCAATTATATTGCTTCCAACCAAAATGGAAAAGGTGAAACATTTAATTGATTAGGCCATTGAAGATGTACGTGATGTTGCATTTTGGTTGACTGGGAATGGCTACTGAGCAAAACTCTCAGTACAGTTACTCTGTGGTAACCCTGAGGATAGGCTGAATTAATGTTTGGTTTTCATTACTTTTTGTATAAAACAAGCTTTCAGCTAGAGTCTTTTGGTGCTTTATTTTCATAACGAGCTTTTTTGAAGACAAAAATAAGCTTCTATTTCTTTTTGGGTTTCTTCAATTAATTCTGTTTGGTATGATATGTTGCTTACTTTTGTTTTTATTTCTATAAAGTTAATCAATCTGAATATGGATTTAATAATTGTAATGATAATATTAATAGTGACTACTAGTTACATATTATGGCGCATCTGAGAACCACATGATGTGTTTGGGCTGGAATGCAAATGTTTCAATTTCTCAGGATCTATGAAAACTTGCTCGGTTTTTACTTTGGGCTTTTGCCCTTTCCACCCTTGTTGTGTTCTTTCCCACCATTGTGTAACGGCTCAAATGCCTCATGTATTCGGAGATGCATCTTTGGATATACCTTTTTTACACACACTTCATATGTAATTATTGAGAAACTCTTATTTTGTTAAAATTTGTTCGGAGATGCATCTCCATATACACAAAAGATGGATTCAGAGATGCATTTTCGTATGCACAAAAGATAGATTCAGAGATGCATCTCTCTAACATCCCTTAGTTCATTAGTCTGTAAGTTTTTTGAAATCTATTAGTTTAAAACAGGAACAAGCAGAAACAATGACAGAATAGAAAATCAATATAAATTAACATCAAAATAAACATTATATAGATAAACATTATATAAATTTAACATTACATCTCATTATAAACGGGTGGTCCAGGATGTTGCAACATCCTTAAAATATATTTGGTTAATCGTAAAAGGTACTCCACATAACATTTAAATTATCATTCGTCTTCAGTTCAAGCATGGTGAACTGTATCTTTTCTTTGTTGTCAATAGAAAGTGAATAATACTCGAGTTTGACAACTTTCTGATTTTTTAGATATCGCAGAAGAGTATTCAATTTTGATTTCAGATCGACGAGAAGTATTTCTTCGAAGACCCTAAATTGAAGTGGGGGATTTTCTCCATTGAAATACACAAATGTAAGATGGGGATAGGGATTCATTATGGTTTTTGTAAAGAAAATGAAACGATTTATAGAAATTGTAGATCAATAAGGACATTACAAACCCTATTATATAATCAAGATAGACTTCATAGATACTTATTCAGATCCGTCTTTTTTAAAATTTAAAATAAGGGTCAATTCAGATATGCATCTCCAGATAATCCCACATGGTGTTTTTTTAATAATTAGAAGGTGTGTTTAGAGATGCATCTCTAGAACCATCAAAAATTATGCAGAACAAAACCAATGTATTATGCATAACAGAATTTCAAAACACAAAAATTATCCAAAAAAACTACCTAATTTTATAATATTATGCAGTGTGTTACATAAAAAAAAGTGTTACATTGTTAGATTACAACTAAAATGAATCAAAACATATGTCACTGCCTAAATCTATTGGTGGTTTATTCTTCGATCTTTCTTTATTTGCTTTTCTTTCAATGTCGCTCAATTTGGTGAACTCTTCCATCCTTTCTAAAAAGTGACATGACCAAGTTTCAACATCTTGTGTGAAATGTATCGTCCACTCCAACAATGTATTTGGTATATGACATCTCGATTTCAAATAAATCCGAACAAAATGTTATTTTTTGATAGTCAACTAATACACTTGATGCATTCAGATGGATTTTGAGGTGGCTTACTCATAAGTGGAAAGAATGTTTTTGAGAAACCATGTCATGTTAAAGAAATACACACCCTATCATAAGCACTTGCTATAAGGTGTCCTATTTTTGGGAAGCACATCTATTGTTCAAATGGGGTCGGCACTTGAGTTTCAAGGACCTCAATGCTATGCAAAAAAATAACATAGTTATAGGGCTTCTATTGATCAACATTCCAACTGAAGTATGTAAAGAGTATATGCAGGCCAAACAACACCGAGGTAACTTTAGCAAAGACACATGATGCAAAACCAAATGTCATCTTGAGGTGATGTAATTCAATGTTTGTGGATCGATGCAAGTTGACTCAATCAGAGGCAATAAGTACTTTGTGACTTTAATTGATGATTTTAGTAGAATTGTAGAATTACTTGATCAAAATAAAAGATGAGGTGATGAAAGTATTTAAGAAGTTCAAATCTATGGTGGAAAGGCAAAGTGATCACAAAATCAAAATTCCAAAATTAGATGATGGAGGTGAGTATGTCGCAAATGACTTTGGGAAATTTTATGGTCAAGAAGGCATTATACATGAAGTAGTTCCACCTTATACACCTCAATAAAATGTAGCTGCCGAGAGGAAAAATTAATCGATTATGAACATGGTGAAAAACATGTTGAGCGGGAAGAATTTGTCAGAAGAATTATGGGGAAGTAGAGATGTCAATAACTGCATATTTGTTGAATAGGTGTCCAACAAAGAAGCTGGAAAATATTACACTCAAAGAATTTAGGTTTGTATTCAAGCCAAATATGAGTCACTTGAAGGTATTTGGTTTGGTTGCATTATATACATGTTCCGGATCAACTTGAAAAGAAGCTATATGACAAGGGAGAAAAAAATGATACTTGTTTTGTATCACTTTATAAGTGGCTACAAACTCTATGACGCACTTAAAAAGAATATTGTGATCAGTGGGATGTGATTTTTGATGAATTAAGGGACTGACAACATGCTAAAATTAATTCAAATGGTGTTGGAACTATTCCTGCAATGTTTGAAAATGCAGAATATGCAGTCAGTGAAGTCCAAATTGAAGGAAATATGAGAAAATCAACAAGGAAAATAAGCATGGTTGCAAGACTAGAAGATTTCGAGTTGTTCTCAAACAATGAAGTAAACGACAATGGTGACCTCGTCCATTTTGCGCTCAGGTTTGAATCTGAGCCGATGAATACAAATGAGGTCTTGAGTGATCCAAAGTGGATATGTGCTACGAAGGAGGAGCTAAAGTCAATTGAGAAAAATAAGACATGGGACCTAGTTGATATACCTCAAGGAAAGAAGTCAATTGGTGTAAGATGGGTGTATAAAAATGAAAGCAAATCCCAAGGCTAAAATAATCAAGCACATGACTCGATTAGTTGCAAAGGAATTTTCGCAAAGAGAAGGCATAATGAGCAGATTTATGGGGATGCCAAAGGAATCACACTTTGAAGCAATCAAGATAATTCTAAGATACGCCAAAGGTTCAATTGGTTACAGAATTTTATTTCCCGCAACAAATAAAGGTTGAAACTATTAATTGCTTGGTCATACCGACTCAAACTGGTGTGAAGATAAAGAAGATAAAAAATATATTGCTAGATACATACTTATGTATGCAAAAAATAAACCTCTTGGTGTTCTAAGAAAGAACAAGTTGTGGAAATCTCTTCTTGCGTGTCCGAGTATATTGCAGTGTCTATGTGTGCGTGTCAAATTGTATAGTTGATGAATTTCATGAATGAGTTGTGCATCAAAGAGTATGAAGTTGTGACTTTGATGATAGGCAACATTTTTGCTAGAAACCTTTCTAAGAATCTCATTACACATGGGAGAAGCAAGCATATAGAGATGATATTTCACAACTTGAAAGAGCTTGTTAGTGAAGGAAAATTGAATTTGAAGTATTGCAAAAGTGAAGATTAAGTGACTGATTTGCTAACCAAAGGAGTAACAATTGAAGTGTTCAAGAGGTTGAAGAAGCACATGAGTATGGAGGACTTGGAGAACTTGAATTAAGGTGGTGTAGACATGGCAAATAAACCCGTCCCCGTCGGGCCTCTGCCCCGAAATTAACGGGGAAAACTGGATTTAAACGGGGACGTGTGCGGGGCGGGGAAAACTCGGTTTTTATTTATGGGGACGGGGCAGGGATGGAGGATGCTAGTATCCTCCCTGCACCCACATGTGCCCGCACCCGCCAACTAAATTTAATTAATTTAATTTATTTTTAATAATTTTATTACTCGTTTATACTTTTTAATGTTATAATATCATGTTTATTAGAATTATTATTTTTTTAAAATACAATTTAAATAAAAATATCAAACATAAAAAATGCTTTTAAAATAATCAATTATTTAGTTTAATTATTGATTTTTATTTTTATTGAAAAAAAGTATAAATTTAAAAAAAATTAAAATTTTATTCGGACGGTTGTGGGACGGGTGCGGGGAAACCCGTTTTTGTTGGGGACGGGGTAGAGAAATAAATATTAACCTGACCGGGCTTGGGGGCAGTGGCGGGTCTGGATCTCAGTGGCGGGTGCGAGTCTGGGTGTGCTTAAACCCGCCCCGACCCGCCCCGTTGCCATCCCTAGCCCCGTTGCCATGTCTAAAGCAGTGTGTTATGAAAATAGAGTAATTCAAATTGTTATAAGTGGTTATTGCCCCTGCAGCAGAGATCAGAATCAAATAACAACATCGTATAATCGATTATAACTTTTATGTAACCGATTACCATTCTCCAGTTTTTCAAATTTTAGATGTCACTAGTTTCTTGTAACCGGTTACAGGTTTGGTGTAACCGATTACAAAGTTGCAAAGTATGTTTTTCTCATTAGTTGGTTAGCTACATTGTTTTGTATGACTGTTTAGATATTCATGTCGGATCATTAACAAAGTAACACCATATTTTTCATCCTAATTATCTATAATTTCCTCACTCTCTCCATTATTCATCATTATCTTGTGATTGTGTTTTTCCCCAACAGTAAAAGCATACACAGCAAGGCAGCAAGGCTGTGAAACAGAACAAAATCATTGTTTGGATGACGTCAACCCAAACATCTTGAAAGTGAAGATCTCAACAAATTTGAAAAGAATAAGAGATTAGAGACAAATCACATCACTGCCAACCGACAATTTAAAATAAACCCTTGCAAGATTTTCATGACGAAACAAAAC